GAGCAAACCAGCTTTTCTTCTCCAACAGCACCCCCTGGTGGTTAATAAGGACTAACCCTAACACCTGCCCTTTTCACCCTGGGGGGTTTCTGCTCATTTTCCTCTTAGAGTTTCTCTAATTTTTGTTACAATGCTCTTTTCTTGTTCTGCATAGTCCCCCTCCCAAATATGGACCACTTACTGTGAGGGATCCCTGTGCCCACTCCTGAACTCCCCCTGAGAGTGGTAGGGTCCAGGGCAGAGCCGCCACCCGAGTCTGGAAACAGATCCACGGAGTTGTGAGCGAGGGTCCTCGAGTGAGAGACAGTGAGCTATGCCTTCAAGCGTTCATGGAAACCACGGCAGCCTTTCACACTACTAGCGCTGCTGAAATTATTTGTGAACATGTACGTCTCTGCATGTTGCACTAACTGCACTTCCTCCAAAGTGCTGCAGGGAGCGTGGCACGTCCTTACCGTGCCAGCGCCGACAGAGGCTTTCCCAGAAGCACAGCCCACACCGGGGAGTTAAAGGTTACACTGAGTCTCTTGACCTCATTTTTGGTTGATATGTCACTGATGGGTAACACGGTGTCAGGTGTGCAATGTGTCGACCTGGTAGTTTTACACACGGCATGTGATTCCTACCGCAGGGTTAGCCACCACCTCTCCCATGTCATGTAACTGTCATTTCCTTCCTGTGGTGAGAATAGCCATGATCTCTCTCTCAGCAGCTCTGAGGGATATAGTATAGCATTGCCACTAATCATGTTATAGCAAATGTGCATGAAAAATAGGTATTTGCTCATTCAACACTCATTGATATCTATCCTAGCCAGGCCTGCTTAGCTGCAGGGAACATTGGTTCACAAAGTAAAAGCCTGTTCTTAAGAAGTTACGTTCTGGTGCGCCCAGGTGAACACCTAGCAGCAGCCGCACACAACAATTTCAATAAAATACAACTAAAATATAAAACGGACATTGCCCAGATCTACAGGAAGGTTGACTGACTGGAAATTCTACAGCGAGAAGCAAGGAGAAAACCAGAAGGAGGCGCGGAGGAGCTGGAAAAGCCCAAGGTACGGAGACGCGGCTCGCGGAGAGGATGGAGCCAGAGAGGAGGGGGAGACGGAGTGCCTGGCGGGCGTTCCCTAGCGGAAAGGAGCTAAAACTCCGACTGGGCTGGGTCCCGGACTGCTCTGAACCCCAGTTCTAGGCCAGACCCTGGGGACTCAGGCTCAGCCATAGGGAGCCGGGCTGTAAGGCGGAACCCCGAGGAGAGGCGAAAGGAGGTCCCGGCGGCGCGCACACTGCGCGCAGAGAAGGGACAGTCAGCTGTGCCGCGGGATTGCCCTGACGGGAAGGAGACAGGGGCTCCAGACTGCTCTGAACGCCACCTCCAACTCCACTTCCAATGGAACTGAACCCCAATACTGGGCTCATTGTGGGAGAGCATAGACTGTCTGGCAGCAGGCGAAAATCGAGGGCACCTTTCTCTCAGAGGCGCCGGCAGCAGCAAGCACTGAAGGACCCGCATAGGGCAGGGCTGACGGAAGCCAAAGCTGCAGGTTCCACCCTGAAACCCCGTCCCATCTGTAACTGCGAAATGCGACAACAAAATAGATCACAAACGAAAGAAATGGAGGACAAAAAGCGTCTGGATATAGAGTTCAAATCTACACTTATAAGGTTTTTCAAGAATTTCCTAGAAAAGATGGATAAGACCTATGAGGATATGAAAAGAGATCAACTAGAATTAATAAGGAGTCATCAAGAAATGATAAGGGATCAACAAGAAATAAAGAATACATTGTCTGAAATAAAAAATATTTTACAGAGTCCTAAAAACAGAAGGGAAGATCGCAAGAATCAAGTCAAAGATTTGGAACATAAAGAGCCAGAGGACACTCCTCCACAGAAGCTAGAAGGCAAGACAATCCAGAAAATTGAAGATAATGTAAGAAACCTCTGGGACAACTTCAAGCGAACCAACATCAAAATTATGGGAGTCCCAGAAGATGAGAGAGAGCAAGATATCGAAAACATACTGAAAGAAATAGTGACAGAAAACTTCCCCCACCTGGTGAAAGAATTAGATTTACAAGTCCAGGAAGCGCACAGAACTCCAAACAAAAGGAATCCAAAGAGGACCACCCCAAGACACATCATACTTAAAATTCCAAGAGCAAAAGACAAAGAGAGAATATTAAAAGTAGCAAGAGCAAAGAAGGTAGTTACCTATAAAGGAGCACCTATACAATTGTCAGCTGACTTCTCAACAGAAACCATGCAGGCCAGACGGGAATGGCAAGAAATATTCAAGGTGATGAATAGTAAGAACCTACAGCCAAAGATAATCTATCCAGCAAAGCTATCACTCAGATTCAAAGGTCAGATAAAGAGCTTCACTAATAAAAAAAAAACTAAAGGAGTTCATCAACACCAAACCAGAATTATATGAACTGCTGAAAGGGGTTCTTTCAGAAGAGAAAGTAAACAAAGATAAAAATTATGAACAACAAATCCGTAACTATCAATAAGTGAATCTAAAAACCAAGGAAATTAAAAAAAAAATCTGAGGAACAATAGTAACTGTTGAATATAATAGAATCAGAGGTATGGAAGGGGAGTGAACTGACGATTCTTGGGGAAAAGGGGAGAGGGGGGCGTGGGAAGAGACTGAACATAAACTGTGCACCTATGGATGAGGACAATGGGGGGTGGGGAAAGGGCAGAGGGTCGGGTGGGAACCTGGCGGAGGAGAGCAATAGTGGGGGGGGTGGGGGGGGGAAAGGAACATTTGTAATAATATGAACAATAAAAACTTATTAAAAAATAATAATAATAATAATAAAAAAGAAGTTATGTTCTGGTGGGAGAGCCAGACAGATGGTACAAGAAACTGATAAGTTACTGTGGGGTCTTTAAGTCTGACCTGCTGGGGAGGAATATACAGCAAGGTCAGGAGGAACAGGACATATAGCAAGGTCAGGAGCCTTGACTAGTGGTGCAACTCGAGAGCAGTCAGGGAAGGCCTCTTTGAGGAGGCAGCATTGGGAAGCACGAGGACGGGCCAGGTGGAGATTCAGGAGAGGGCTTCCATACAGAATGCCAGATGTGAAGGCAGGAGGCCTTCGGAGGGAAAGGAGTGGGGGGCTGAAGACCGGAGTGTGGAACAGCAGCTGGAAGTGGAAACAGCAGGTGTGCAGACCACTCAGAGAACATGTGGGTTTCTTCTGAGTGACAGGAGGCGCTGAAGGGAGGGGCTGTGCGGGGAAGATTGGAGGGCCGAGGGCGGCAGGAGCCAGCAGGAGATCCTCAGGCCTAGCTCACAATGTGATTCAGAGACTGGGGTGCATGTGGCTTTGAGTCTGGAGCACCTGCTGGTGCCATTTGCTGAGACAACCTTCCGAAAAAGGGCAGTGGCAGGGACACTGTGTGCAATGTGGGCAGGTGTCTGTCACACATTCCGGGCTGTCCCAGAGGCAGCTAGGCAGGTACAGGCCAGGGAGAGGGCTGGACTGAAAAATAAATGTGGGGTCATCTGTAGAGTGAAGGTTTCTTAGTTGTGGGGCGAGAAAGAATCACCTGGAGATGGAAAGAAGTGGAGAGAGAACAGACTAGAAGGAAGCTAGAGAAGGGGAGGTGCAGTCTCAGGGACAGGGAGAGGCGCAGGCACAGGATTGAGGGCAGTACTTCATTTAGTATTCAAACGTGAGCTCACCTGTATGAAATTAGCCCAAAGAACAGCAGGTGGTTAAGGTTTTCCAAGTCACTTGAAAGATACTATCTGACCTGCTGGTAAACTGACACATCTATACTAATATGCTAATTAGACCACCATCTTCCAGATATCCTTCCAGAAGTCTTTCTGGACAAAGCCATGATGGTGGGGGCCAAGGCAGAGGCAGATAGGGGTGATCAGGCCAGCAGGGGAGAGCAGTTAGGGGTGATCAGGCAGGCAGGCAGGTTTAAACCAGCAGTTGGACATCCCCTGAGGGGTCCCAGATTGGAGAGGGTGCAGGCCAGGCTGAGGAATCTCCCCTGCCCCCTTGTGTACAAATTTTGTGCACTGGGCCTCTAGTCCTAAATAATAAAAGGCTAATATGCAAATTGACCAAACAGTGGAATGACTGATTGCTATGATGTGCACTGACCACCAGAGGGCAGATGCTCAATGCAGGAGTTGCTAAGCTGCGGTGACTTGGCAGCTGCAGTTCTTAAGTGGAACCTGGAACCAGAGAGGAGGGAGCCCAATTCCAGGGTATGTCACCAGAGAACTGCCCTCTTGCAATCCAGGACCCCTCAGGGATTGTCAGAGAGTCAGATTTTACCTGATCCCTGCAGACCAGGCAGAGGGATCCCACCAGTGCACAAATCCATGCACTGGGCCTCTAGTTTAAAAATAAATGGCACTAGGGACCTGGTGCCAACAAACCAACACTCAGCTTCCCCCAAGTGGGACACAGGCCTCGTCACCACCCCAGAGCAACACCCCACCAAATTGCAGCCAACACTGTCAAGACCCCATGCTGCAAAATGTGGCCCACAGCCCAGCCCAGCTTGGTGGCTATGGGTGCTAGGTAATAGCAATGCCTGGCTTCCTCTCCCTAGCAACTAGCTTCCTTGAAGTTTCTTCAGCCCAGGAATCCTACTTGCTTTATAGCCGAATGTAAACATTTTACAGTTTAACCAAATGTCTGTGAAGCTTTTTCACATGTTTCATCTCATTTGATCTGGCTGGCTGGGCGCTGGACTCAGGCTCCTGGCCAGCACTCACCTGCTGAATGCTACCCAGTTTATCAATAACGTCCCCGTGGGTGGACACACAGCACCAGCGCTGAAGTTTAAATAGTGTTTATATCCCAGTGAAGTCTTCGCCCAAACTGGTGATTCTAAGCTATGGTATGGAGGCGCGAGGAGCCACGTCCCCCCGCCCCCCCCCCCACCACCCGCAACAGCTCCCCTATTGCTCGTTTTTCAAAGGCATCATGAATCAGCGACACAACCAAAACCAAAGTCCACTTTAAAATTGGAAATATGACCAACTTTTAATGAACTGGAATGTACCAACACGGTAAGCAGAGTTTACCCACAGGAAGAGGTATCCCCATCATTCTGGACACAAATGCAGGATTTCTACTAAACATCGCGGAGACCATGACTAGCTCGGTCTCTACCACAAGGGACCATTCTTCACATGAACTGAGGTCCACTATGCTGCCATGTCCCTGCAGGCTGCGGTGGGAGCACCCCATGGCTCTGCACACGTGGCGGTGTCCTGCTCCAAGGTCACGAGTGCGAATCCCAGGCCGGGAGTGAAGCCGGGAGTGGTCACAGGGATGGGACATTCTGCTGCTGTGGTGACAGCACAGGGCACAGGGCACCCTGACCGGAGCTAGGGAAACCATCGGCAGGGATTGTTTTCTCTCCGCGATGCGTGTGGGCTGGTCCCGGTCATGGCTGTCAGTGGAAGGAGGCCCGCACCTGGCGGCCCTTCAGGGGCTGCGGGGGCCGGTGGTTGCTCAGCAGGAAGGCGGCCGTGTGGCCCTCGGGGGTGCACAGGAGCCTGCGGAAGGCAGCCAGCTGTGGGGAGAGAGGCAGCGTCAGGAGGTGATCAGTGTGAGTGCGGTGCCCATGAGCCCAGAAACGGTGCGCTGAGCCAGGAGCTGCAGCAGCAGGCAGGTCTCCTTGGCCTGGTTCAGCCTGCAAGGCCGCCCGGCTGACAGCTCAGCATCTGGAGGTGCTTCTGGCTTCCGAGCGCAGGCCATGGGCCCTCCTTACCTGACGGGATGGGGGCAGGGTCTGAGGAGGGGCACGGACCTTCCTAGCGGGGACACAGGCCAGCTCCGCACCCCCTCCCCCCCGGACCTCAGCTTCAGTGTCCTCGGCTCCAAATGAAGCCTTGGATGGGTCACCTCAGGAGCCACAGACCACTGGGCTCCACAGCCTTGCAGGCCCAGTGCTCACGGCAGCCACATTCATCCTGCAAGCACTGTCTTCCTGAAACTGCAAAAAGCTGCTGGCTTTCTCTATTCTTGTGCCTATAAACAACTCTCTATGGAAATCCTAAGGCCTTCAGCCTCTGGTCACGTTTAAGCACAACTTAAGTGGCACACATTTCTCACCAAAAGGGCTTAATTTTGCTCATTACAAGAAAGCCTCCGTGTCTTACAACTTCACGCAGTAGACAGTATCAAGAAGAAAACAGAGGCTGCTAGTCTCCACATCAAACGACATTTGACACTATAAAACGCTTCTGATTTTCCTAAGAATAGTATATTTACAGAGAGGGGATGGGAGAGGGAGAGAAACATCAATTTGATAGTGAAATATTGACTGGCTGCCTCCCGCACTCCTCCTACCCACGCATGTGCCCTGACTGGGAATCGAACCTGAGACCTCTTGGTGCATGGGACTACGCTCAACCAACTGAGCCAACGGGCCAAGGTGAGCATTCTTCTATGTGTAAGCACACACACACCTGAGATGTTTTATTACAAAGATTAGCATAACTAAAATGCTCTTCTGAAACATATTTATTTCCATATATAGCAGTGGTTCTCAATCTTTCTGATGACGTGACACTTTAATACAGTTACTCATATTGTGGTACCAAAATAATTTTAATTATTGTGGTACCAAAATAATTTTATGGTAACCCACAACCATAAAATTATTTTCGTTGCTACTTCATAACTGTAATTTTGCTACTTTTAGTGAGTCATAATGTAAATATCTGTTTTCTGATGGTCTTAGGCTCTACAGCATCTGTTCTCAACCTGTGGGTTGCTAGCAGGGTTCCCTAAGACCACTGGAAAACACAGAAAACATTGCTTACACTACAGAGTTTTATATATTAAGTCAAAATTAATGTTCAAATAAATAAATTATTTTCTCATTTCACAAATAGTCTAAAGATGCAGAAGAAAAACATTCTTAGATCATTAATTATTGCTAATACAATATATAACATTTTACCATTAAAAAAAATTAGAGCGCTAGCCAGTTTTGCTCAGTGATTAAGAGTATCATCCCTTGGATTAGAAGGGTCCTGGGCTCGATTCTGGTCAAGGGCACATACCTTGGTTGCAGGCTCCATGCCTGCTCTGGTTGGGGCCTGTGCGGGAGGCAACCAATTTTTGTCTCTCTCACATCAATGTTTCTCTCTGTGTGTCTCTCCTCCCTTCACCCTGTTTAAAAATCAATGGAAAAAATATCCTCCAGCCCTAACTGGTTTGGCTTAGTGGATAGAGTGTCAGCCTGTGAACTGAAGGGTCCCAGGTTCGATTCCGGTCAAGGGCATGTAACTTGGTTGCAGGCACATCCCCAGTAGTGGGTGTGCAGGAGGCAGCTGATCAATGTTTCCCTCTCATCGATGTTTCTAACTCTCTATCCCTCTCCCTTCCTCTCTGTAAAAAAAAAAAAAAAAAAAAAAAAAAAAATCAATAAAATATATTATATACCATCCAACGAGGATTAGCAACAAAAAAACCTGAAAACAACAAAAAAGAATCATACAAAAAAAAAAAAAGACATTAGAGTTCTACTTCCAGATATGCTGGACTAAGACCCTCCAGACAGCCTCATGTATAATAGAAAATCTCTAACACAGACATAATGCAAAACCAACCAGCTGCAGGCCCTGGAGGCGAAGCACGCAGCGGGCCAGAGGGCATGCACACTCGGAGGGAGAGCTGGGCGCTCCAGAGTGCGTTCCATCTCTCCAGTCTGTCACCTGGAGCTGGTGGAGTCTGCCGTGAGGACACCTGTCTTGGAAGAAATGAGCTGGAAAGAAGATCCACCAACTCTATATCTACAAACCACGCTGGCTAAACAGAGACCAGAGCAGCAGCACAAGAAAAAAACAATGCAATGCAAGCCCAGCCAGGAAGACCACCTGCTAGCACCAAAGAAACAATACTTATCAGAGAAAGATGGGAGAATCTAGAATTACCACAACTTAATGTGCACAACAACTAGAAAATGATAATTTAAAAAATCACTCAACAAACCAAGAAACAATAAAATGGAACACATTCTCAAAGAAAGAAGAGTCAACAGTCAGGCCTAAGATGAATCAAATTCAGAACTGACAAAGATGTTTAATGGCCACATGAAATGAAACAGTATCCTCTTTACTGCATAATAAATCTTATGACTCTTAATGGGCAATCTCAGTAGAGAAACAGAAATAATAAAAGGGAGCCAACTACAAATTTTAGAACTGAAAATGTAAGTACTAAAGCACAAAGTTCAATGGGTAGATTTAACAGTCACGCTGACATAATAGGAAAGAGTAAATTAACTTTAATATATATAAATAGAAATTACCTACAGTGAAGAACAGAGATAAATGTTTTAAAATAGAGCTTCACGAATGATATTAAAAGATCAAATCTACGTGCAGTTAGAATATCAGAAGGAAAAGAAAAAGAGAATGGGGCACAGCATACATAAAATGTAACTCATAAGTAATCAAAGACTTAAATGTAAAAGCTAAAACTAATAAAGAAGAAGAAAATATTTTGTAGCACATAGGCAGAGATTTCTTAAGCAGATTTCTTTTGCACAAACTATAAAAGATAAATTTATAAAGTGGACTTCAATAACATTAAGAACTTTTCCTCTTCAAAAGACAGTGAAAAAATAAAAAGCCATAGATTGTGAGAAAACTTTGCCAAAACATGTATTGAAAAAGGCATTTATCCAGATTGTACTGGATTAGAGCTCTTGCAGCTCAATAATGAGAAGACATACAATCCAATTTTAAAAAATGGGCAAATGATTTGAACAGATATTTCACAAAAGATATACACAGAAACAGCAAGCATATGAAAAAAACGTTCAACATCAGTAGTCATATGATCAGTGCATAGTAAAATTGCACAGACCCACTAGAGTGGCTAAAGGTAAAGGCTGACAACACCAAGTGCTAACAGAATGTGGGGCAACCTGAAACCTCATTGCTGCTGAGACTAAAAAAAGGACCAGCTATTTATTTATTTATTTATTTATTTATTTATTTATTTTCAGTTTTAATATATTTTTATTGTTGATAGTCTTACAGATATCTCCCATTTCCCCCCATCCAAGACCATACCCATCCCCCCAGGTCCTCAATACCCTACTGCCCATGTCCATGACTACGTATATCTATACTAATAAAGGGTAATATGCTAATTAGACTGGGAAACCAGACATCTTTCTACCGTCTGCCTTCCTTCCTGACAAAACCACGATGGTGGGAGCCGAGGCACAGGTGGTTAGGGGCAATCAGGCTAGCAGGGGAGGGCAGTTGGGGACCATGAGGCTGGCAGGGGAGTGGTTAGGCAGTGATTAAGCCAGTAGGCAGGCAAGTGGTTAGGATTGCAAGAGGGGATGGATGTCTGACATCCCCCAAGGGGTCCCAGATTAGAGAGGGTGCAGACTGGGCTGAGGTACCCCCCCCCCACCATGCACAAATTTCATGCACCAGGCCTCTAGTTTATATATATAGAAGTCCAGAGACCCTTATGGCAGAATGAACAGAACGGCTGATGCACACTGACCACCAGGGGGCAGATGCTCAACAGAGAAGCTGCCCCCAGGTGGTCAGTGCACTCCCACAGCAGGAGTACCCTCAGAACTCAAGATGGCTGGCGAGCACAGTGGTAGTGGTGCAAGCCTCTCCTGCCTCAGTAGCAGCACTAAGAAGCAGCAAGTCCAGGGGTAAGGAGCAAGCAGGCAGGCAGTGAGGAGTGAGGGGTCCCAGATTGTGAGAAGGCGAAGGCTGGGCTGAGAGATCCTGCCCCCCCCCCCCCCACATACCCACATCCACAAATTTTGTGCCTCAAGCTTCTAGTAAGTATATAAGTTCTTTGGTTTATCTTTTCTCGTCTCCCCCAACCCCACATCGAGGTATATCAGTCTTTAGAAGACAATGTACCTTATAAAATTAAACATGAGTTTATCACTTAGCCTAGTAATTGCCACAAGACGTGAAAATGTGTCCACAGAAAAGTGGGTATGTCAATTATTTCTAACATCCAAATATGGATAGCCACATTCATACATCTCCAAACTAGAAGCAATCCAAATGTCTATCAATTGGTCAATAGATTTTTTTTAATAGTGGTATAACCAAAGGACTTGTGTGCATGGAATATTAGCATAACCAATCGGCATAGACACTGGGAGGGTGGGTCTTGCCCTTGGCGGTGGGAGTGGTGGGAAGTGTCAATCAGGGAAAAAGGAGATATATGCAATACTTTAAATAATAAGAAAACAATAAAAAATAAAAGTGGTGTATCCATACCATAGAATATTACTCTGTAACAAAAATAAATAAAATGTGTGAGTCTTCAAAACATTGTGCTGAGCAAAAGAAACCAAACACAGAAGTGCATGTCTGTGTAATTCCACTTGAATAAACTCTAGTGACTCAGTGGTGTCCTGAGGCCGTGGATGAGTAGAGGGCAAAGGGCACGAGGAAACCTCTGGCAGGGATTCCTCTCCTGGGCTGCGTGCGAGTGGCTTGCTGCAGTGCATGGTGACACACACAACCAAGGCCAGCCGCTGCCGCTGAGCTCCATAAATGCTGTGTCTGCACACAACGGCACAACAAAGGGGATGTTTAAGAAGGAGCTAGGCAGTGTCCTGCAGGTCGGGTTTCAGCAGCTGAGTAAGCCGAGGTGGAAAACCCAGAATAACCCAAAGAGACTTGGCGGGAAAAGTCCGCCTGCCCAAGACAATGATGCATCTGTTATCCAGATATCAGGATCGCAGCATCTGATCTCGGCCTGGAGGTAAACCAAGCATTTCAGTCAGTGACTCGGGGGATAAAAATGGACTTGAATCAAGAAAAAGAAAATGATGATGGCTGCCCGGGTAGGCAACTAGCCACAGCCACACACAACAATTTCAACAAAATACAACTAAAATATAAAATGGACATTACCCAGAACTACAGGAAAGTCGACTGACTGGAAATTCTACAACAAGAAGCAAGGAGAAAACCAGAAGGAAGCGCGGAGGAGCTGTAAAAGCCCAAGGTACGGAGACACGCGGCACACGGAGAGGACGGAGCCGGAGAGGAGAGAGGCCGAGTGCCTGGCTGGCGGTCCCAAGCGGGAAGGAGAGAAAAGCTCCGACTGTGCTGGGCCCAGCTCCAACTGCTCTGAACCCCAATTCTAGGCCAGACCCCGGGGACCCAGGCTCATCCATAGGGAGCCAGGCTGTAAGGCGGGACTCCGGGGAAGTGGCGAAAGGAGGTCCCGGAGGCACGCACACTGCGCGCAGAGAAGGGCCGGCCGGCTGTGCCACGGGATTGCCCTGACGGGAAGGAGACAGGGGCTCCAGACTGCTCTGAACGCCACCTCCAATTCCACTACCAACTGAACTGAACCCCAATACCGGACTCATTGGGGGAGAGCAGTTTGGCAGCAGGCGAAAATCGAGGGCACCTTTCTCTCAGAGGCGCTCGCAACAAGTACTGAAGGACCCTGAGTCTCAGGAGTCGCATAGGGCGGGGCTCCACCCTGAAACCCTGCCCCATCAGGAAAGCTGCCTGTGAAAATGCCTAAACCAAATAGATCACAAACGAAAGAAATGGAGGACAAAAAGCGACTGGATATAGAGTTCAAAACCACACTTATAAGGTTGTTCAAGAATCTCCTAGAAAAGGCCGATAAAATAAACAAGACCTATGAGGATATGAAAAGGGATCAACTAGAAATAATAAGGGATCAACAAGAAATAAAGAATACATTTGTCTGAAATAAAAAATATTTTATGGAGTCCTAAAAACAGAATGGAAGATCGCAAGAATCAAGTCAAAGATTTGGAACATAAAGAGCCAGAAGACACTCCTCCACAGACGCAAGAAGGCCAGAGAATCCAGAAAGTTGAAGATAATGTAAGAAACCTCTGGGACAACTTCAAGCGAACCAACATCAGAATTATGGGGGTCCCAGAAGATGAGAGAGAACAAGATATCGAAAACATACTGAAAGAAATAGTGACGGAAAACTTTCCCCACCTGGTGAAAGAATTAGACTTACAAGTCCAGGAAGCGCACAGAACTCCAAACAAAAGGAATCCAAAGAGGACCACACCAAGACAAATCATAATTAAGATTCCAAGAGCAAAAGACAAAGAGAGAATATTAAAAGAAGCAAGAGCAAAGAAGGTAGTTACCTATAAAGGAGCACCTATACGATTGTCAGCTGATTTCTCAACAGAAACCATGCAGGCCAGACAGGAATGGCAAGAAATATTCAAGGTGATGAATAGTAAGAACCTACAGCCAAAGATAATCTATCCAGCAAAGCTATCACTCAGATTCAAAGGTCAGATAAAGAGCTTCACTAATAAAAAAAAGCTAAAGGAGTTCATCAACACCAAACCAGAATTATATGAATTGCTGAAGGGGGTTCTTTCAGAAGAGAAAGTAAATAAAGATAAAAATTATGAACAACAAATACGTAACTATCAACAAGTGAATCTAAAAACCAAGGAAACTAAAAAAAAAAAAAATCTGAGGAACAATATTAACTGTTGAATATAATAGAATCAGAGGTATAGAAGGGGAGTGAACTGTTTATTCTTGGGGAAAAGGGGAGAGGGGGATGTGGGAAGAGACTGAACATAAACTGTGCACCTATGGATGAGGACAATGGGGGGTGGGGAAAGGGTAGAGGGTGGGGTGAGAAGGGGGGGGAAAGGAACATTTGTAATAATATGAACAATAAAAATTTATTTAAAAAAAAGGAAAAAAAAAGAAAAAGAAAATGAAAACCCTCAGACAGTGACTTGACAAGAAAGAGCAGCGGGGAAAACTGGCCCCAACGACTAAAAGGTTTATGGTGGGACTGAAAAATAAACAAATAACGCTTCCTAGCAACTTCAAACATAGAGCTGTCATCACTGAGATACCATCTTCTGGAAAGTAATTCCTAAGCCGGTGGCATACACAAAAGACTTTATATAAAAGAGGTAGGCAGCTGAGTAATCTTACCAACCCTCTTGTGTTTTGGATTTTTTAATAAACTGTTTGTTTTAGAACGGTTCAGATTTATAGAATGATTACAAAGGGTTCTCTGTACCCGCTTCAGCGTCCTCTAGAGTTACCGTCTTCCATGGAGTGCATTCTCACAAATAATGAACCAAAATGGACCGTCCTTGGTGTGGTTACTCAGGCCTCCCTCCTTGGTTTGTCTGATGTCTCTCTCTGGCCCTGATCCCACCAGGACACGATCTCACTGAGTTGCCGTCTGGAGCCCTTCCTGCAGGTGCGTTCCCAGACGCCCTAGCTCTCGGTGCACGGACAGTCTGAGGGGCGTGATCAGGTGTTTTGCAGGATGTCCCTGACTTGGGCTTTGTCTGATGTTTTTCTCATGGTTAAAACTGGGATTGGACTTTTAAAATACCTTTTGCTTCATTCTTAAGTCTTACCATCGTGATAGTACTATCTTATACTTTGGATTACTACTCAGATAATCACTTCAGTCTGGTTGCAAATGGGAGGTCTGAAAGGTTTCCTCGCCTGTAGACTCAGTGAGCACTTCCCAGTGAACTGCGGGCCAACTGACCCCCTGAAGCTCAGCCTCCATTTTATGCTCTTCTGGGCAAAACACCAGAATCATAATCAACATTAACTGATAGCGCCTGAGATAAGATACAGTAATGAACCCACAGTTAGTCAGTCATATCCCAAAATTGGCAGAAAGTTTCCTTGACTGGGTTAACTTCATGCATTTTAAGGATCTAATGTATATTTTGATATAATCTCTTACCGGTTACAGGTAGATTTTTTTAAAAGTTACTCTCCAAGTGGCTCTAAGAAATAAAGATACCCTTGAAGTATGAGGAAAAGCATGCATTATGCTATAATGTGTCCCTTTTCACGTGGGCACAGGAAGGGGAGAAAGTAAGACCCATTGGTGAGGCCCTGACCCAGGGGTGGGTCCCTATTCTCATGGCACAATTCACCTTGTTTCTAATGGAAAAATTCACAGCAAATTTTGTGTCAGGCAAGCTCTAGATTTCTATGCTGGTCTTTCTAAAAGTATTAGTAAGTATGCCCCAGGCATTATTGGTGTTTCGTCCTAAAGACAAGGCCACCAGAAGTGGCACATGAGCCTCACAGCAAGGAGAAATGCCCGGATATGGCCTTGGCAGAGGTCAACCAGCTCTAGTCTTTGGGGAATAAGCAGCTAGGCAGGGACCAGCCCAGAACAGAAGTGCTTTATTAGCTGCAAAAATTATCAGACTGCGTTGTTGCTAAGGTCCTGCAGCACATAATTCCAAAAGGAAAGACAAAACAGAACTCATTAAGCACAGCCTTGGGGACACACAGCATCCACCTGGCAGTTGGTGGCCGAAGGTACCAGCCCAGCAGGGTTCTGGCAGACTCCTGAGCCTGCAGACTTATGTCACAAGAAGAGCCTCTGTAAATGCGACATCCCTCAGACGCCCCACAGAAGCTGTGCCAACAGAAGCCACAGGTCACAGGTTTCCTCTTAAGCTCAGCGGGCCCTGGTCTGTGGTGCAGGTCCGCTTCCTGCAGGTGAGCCTGTGGGAGGGCGGGACCAGGGACCAGCAGGGAAGGTGAAGGTCACCTTTTAAGAGCAGCCTCTCCCCTGACTTTCCTTTTGAATCCCAGCCCCTTTCTCAGTCCAAGCTAGAAGGCAGAAGCAAGCAGTGCTGCTTTCAAAGGGGCCTCACTGCCCCCGCATTGCTAAGAAGCGGGGAAGGAACCACCTCACCAGAGGTCAGATGGGAAGGGACAGACGTCTCTTCTGAGGGAGGACACGGGCTTCCTAGCGCAGCGGAGGCACAGAGGGGTGAAAACCATTCTGCCCATTTCCTCTGGAGGGGACCGCAGGAGCAGGCCTACCTGCTGGGAGCTGACGCTGATTGGCTGCTTTAGGATGATCCATGTGACGCTCTCCAGGAGGGGCGGCACGGTGAGAGACCCCGGGTAGGTCCAGTAATCCCAGGACGGAGGAAGCAGCGACAAGGGGTCAAAATTCGTGAATCGAGTTTGTTTACCCTGGGCAGGAGAGAGAGAGCCTTACATCAGGAAGCTGTCACAGATTCGGGAAAACGTGCGTGCAGTGACCTCAGATTTCCCTGGACCTGCCCCCATCACGCAGTTTAGTGTCTGCTGTTTGTATTTTAGAAAGAGGACGTGCCTTCATCTAAACATGTTAGAGGCAGCCGGGCATCGCCAAGATTCATTTGAAAGGACAAGATTTGTTTTCACATAAGTGAAGATGTGTTGCAGCCAAAGGCTTATTCTGTAAAACTCTGAAGACAGAAACTAATTATGCATAAATATATTTATGTGATTATTTTAGGTGATTGAAGACTCCTTCATAAACCTCAGGAGTGAGTGGTGACAGGCTGTGCCGACTCTATCGGTCAAGGACACGCCGGCTGCTTTCAGGAGCAGCACTTGCCTGGCTCACCCGTGTTTGTACTGACAAGAGACTTCAGCAGAAAATGGGACCATATTAGTCCCAGTCCTCAGGAGTCAGCCTTACCTTTTCTCTAATGGAATCCAGGATGTCAGTGATCTTTTGCAGTTGTGGGTTACATTCGCCAATCTGAAAACAGGAAATTTCGGGAGAAGTGGTGACTGTTAAAGAGCAGGTCTGAATTGCTCCATTTCGGTCACGATTTTTAAATTCTTTACAAACAAAACAAACAAAACGTAGGCCAGCCCACAGCACGCAGAGATTGTTCTGGAGCAGCCCTCCTGCCTGAAGACTCTGGCCCCTGGGCTGAGTTACAAGTTTACCCCTGAACTGGCAGTGGCAGCTCACTGTTCTCAGCTTTAGGGGAGCTGCAGACGCAGGTGAACTTGGACAGCCTAGCTTAGGAGACCTCCATCACACCTGCACTCCCACCCCAGGTGTGACTTCCAGACCCTCTCTCCACACAGACTACTCTGACATCAGAACATTGGCGTAAAACATCCCAGATTCGGCCTAACAATGGGAGGTGGCAGATCCAGGCAGCAGATCATCCTGAGCAGAGTTCCTCAGAACAGGTGCCCCTCCTCCCCATCCCAGTGGGTGTCGCAACAAGGAGGAGCGTTCTCCAAGAATGTGGTCCCCGTGGGAGTGGGGGCCCCACCCACCCCAGGTGTGGCCACAGCGATACCTGTCTGACCACTTGTGCAGGAGCACAGACAACAATGAGAAGCGGTCAGGGCCTTTGGGACAAGAGCCGCTGAGGTGCCACCAGCGCTTCTAGAGCGGGACGGCGGCTCGGCTCTGCGCGCCCTGAGTGCGGTGAAGCCCGTCCCCAGAAGCCGGCCGGGCTCTGCGGGGTCTCGAGTTCACCTCCACGCTGCTGTTGTTGGTAATGGATGACAATGATCAACAGACACAGGAGGGATTGGAAGGCAAAGCTCCCAGGCCCTGAGATGAACCATAAACATGGAGTTTTGATATACATTTCAAAAGGAAAACACTAGACCTATAACTGGCTCGTTATTAAAAAATGGTAGAACCCAGCCTGCGTGGCTCGGTCCATGCCCCAAAAGGTCACAGGTTTAATTCCCAGTCAGGTGGCGGGCTTGATCGCCCATAGGGGCGTACAGGAGGCAGCTGCTGGAAGCTTCTCTGTTACTGATGCTTCTCTCTCTCTCTCTCTCTCTTTCTCTCTCTCTCTCTCTCTCTCTCTCTCTCTCTCTCTCGATCAATAGGCTATTTTGTGAAAGTGATAGGATGTCCATTTGGTGACTAAAGTCCTGCCCCACACGCTGAGTAGCTGTTTTCATGAAGCCAGAGGCCCTCACCTGTAAAAACACGCCCAGGACAGCAAGTCCGTCGGGCGCGTGAGCAGCCTCCACGAAGCTGGGGTACTTGTCCGCGTTCCAGTGGACGACGTGGAGCTGGAAAGGAGGACAGTGTAACTCAGCATCATGTTTAGGCCCGTCCTCAGACGCATGGGCCCAGGGTGAGAGGCCGGCCTGCACCTCAGGCACGGTCCTGCCGCCACGTCCACATCCACGTCCACGGAGCTCTTGGAGGCCCCAGGAAGTCCTGCCACGCCCCTGGAGCCCCAACAATCTCCAGCCACTGATCCCAGTGACGGAGGGCCCCCGCGCTCCCGCACCGGGACTGCAGTCCACAACCGGAGGCAGGCCCGCTGGCAGCAGGTCCAGGCTGGGGTGCGGGGTCAGTGGGTGACCCTGCCGCGGACGGGGCAGTGGTTCCTGGACACAGTCAGAGGCTCCCTCCTGCACCAAGGCCTTTCTACGGTGTGAACATGGGTTCTCCTTAAGAGTCCCTGTGTTAGCAGTGTCCACTCATCTGTCAGCTTCCAGGCCCGAGTCCAGGCCCCGCGTGGGGAGCAGGAGTGACCTGGACAGAGGCTGGGCTGGAAACAGAGGGTCGGGGGAGGATCAGTGTGCTGAGGGGAGGGCAGGCGGCCAGGCTGGGACCAGAGGGGCTTCCCCCACATCCCACTCTGCCCGAGAGCCATGTCCCCTCCAAATCCAGGGACGTGTCCAGGCATGGCCCCCTGAGCACAGACCAGCGCACGGACTTGGCACGCACAGCCCAGGAAAGACCGCTCCTGGAAGCTCCTCCCCAGCTGGGGGTGCACTGCAATGGCAGCCACAGGAAGGCCAGGCCACGTGGCACACCCAGATGGCGTGGCCCAGATCCTGATGGCGGGAGAGGGGAGGGCTTCGGGTTTGACCTCCTCAAGGGCTGTGGCCCCTCAGGGAGGAAACGTGGGAATTTCATGCACTAACCCCCTTCCAGGTGACAGCTGAGGGATTAGTCTGCTCCAGGTTTTATCCCATCCTTTCAATGTGACTGTGCGTCTACAGGGGACACCTGCAGGGGATTTCTGGATAAAGAAGACTGACCACACCTGGCTGGTGTGGCTCTGTGGTTGAGCATTGACCCATGAGCCAGGAGGTCACATTTACATTCCCGGTCAGGGCACATGCCGGGCTGTGGGCTCCATCCCCAGTGGGGGGCATGCAGAGGGCAGCCGATCCATGATTCTCTCTCATCACTGATGTTTCTACCTCTCTCTCCCTCTCCCTTACTCTCTGAAATCAATAAAAACATATTTTTAAATAAAAGAGTGACCATGAACAGTGAACTAGAAGCAGTGCACCCCTCCCCCAACAGCGGAGAGACTGGCTCTGCACGGTGGCAGTGGCCCGTGTTCTGCGCTGTGTGGATGGTGGGGGACAGTGCTCGCTGGGCCACAGGGACACCCTGGGCTGTTGTGCCAAAGGCCCAGTGCCCATGCACCAGCGCACCTGGTGAGAGATGACGCCACAGACACCGAAACCTGGGGAGTGACTCCTTGGTCCGCCCACAGGTGCTCAGAACACCATGTGGAGCCAAAGACAGAAGCCCTGTGTCCTCCCAGGGGATACAGAGCGACCAGGACACTTTGGGAGCAAGAGGCGGGTTGTTGTCACAAGTCTTCCCCCTCCCGCCTTGCAGCTGCCCGCGTGGCCCAGGCCTCTGAGTGGGACCAGGCGCAGTGTGCCTCCTTTTCACAGCCCAGTGCCGAGCGAATGACCAGAAGTGACCACAGCGGCTGCAAAGGGAAGGACCAGGCTCCCCCGGGAAACAGTGTCTGAATAAAGTGCCGTCAGTCTCAGCATCTCCCTGCTACTGCGGACACACAGAGGCCTTCGTGCAAAAGGCGCCGTCATGTGAACACCGCAGCTTCACGCTCAGCTCGCGTTCCCTCTTCCTGTATGTGAGGCAGCGGTGCGCTGGGATCCAGCGCTCTCCGTGCAGACATGCCCTCAGGGAAGCTTTGTGAATGGTGGTCAGTGGGCTGGACTGTCCACGTTCGGCCCCAAATTAAATTCCCGTGTCACGGCTCTCTGTGGCCTTTTCCTTTGTCCTCCTCCCTTCACTGTCTGATGTATAAGGAGGACAGCACGGTGATGCCCTGCCCTAGTGCATAGGAGCTGGAAAGCCGCTCCCAGGCCAGAACCGCCCGGCCTCACCTGCTCCCCAGAAGGCCAGCCGTTTCATGAGATCCAGAGCTCCTGGGCCCGCAGCACCGCATCTGTCCTCATCCCGACAGGCCCCTGTCCTCGTCCCACACGACAGCCCCTGTCCTCATCCCACACGACGGCCCCTGTCCTCGTCCCACACAACAGCCCCTGTCCTCATCCCACACGACGGCCCCTGTCCTCGTCCCGCACGACGGCCCCTGTCCTTGTCCTGCACACGATGGGCCCTGTCCTCGTCCCACACGACGGCCCCTGTCCTCACCCCACACGACGGCCCCTGTCCTCGTCCCACACGACAGCCCCTGTCCTCACCCCACACGACGGCCCCTGTCCTCGTCCCACACGACAGCCCCTGTCCTCACCCCACACGACGGCCCCTGTCCTCGTCCCACACAACAGCCCCTGTCCTCACCCCACACGATGGCCCCTGTCCTCACCCCACACGACGGCCCCTGTCCTCGTCCCACATGACGGCCCCTGTCCTCGTCCCACACGACGGGCCCTGTCCTCCTCCCACATGACAGCCCCTGTCCTCCTCCCACATGACAGCCCCTGTCCTCCTCCCACATGACAGCCCCTGTCCTCGTCCCGCACGACGGCCCCTGTCCTCGTCCCGCACGACAGCCCCTGTCCTCGTCCCGCACGACAGCCCCTGTCCTCCTCCCACACGACGGCCCCTGTCCTCCTCCCACACGATGGCCCCTGTCCTCCTCCTGCACACAATGGGCCCCTGTCCTCATCCCGCACGACGGGCCCCTGTCCTCGTCCCACACACGACGGCCCCTGTCCTCGTCCCCCACGACGGGCCCCTGTCTTCGTCCCGCACGACGGCCCCTGTCCTCGTCCCGCACGACAGCCCCTGTCCTCCTCCCACACGACGGCCCCTGTCCTCCTCCCACACGACGGCCCCTGTCCTCACCCCACACGACAGCCCCTGTCCTCGTCCCACACGACAGCCCCTGTCCTCCTCCCACACGACAGCCCCTGTCCTCCTCCCACACGACGGCCCCTGTCCTCACCCCACACGACAGCCCCTGTCCTCGTCCCACACGATGGCCCCTGTCCTCGTCCCACACACGACGGCCCCTGTCCTCACCCCCCCGCCCCCTGACACATACACACACACACACACAACAGATGACCCTGACCTGCTCAGGCCCACAAGCCCGCCCCACCAGGCTCGGCCCCGGCCTCTCTGGGACGGTGCAGCCTCTCATGGAGCCGGTTTCTTGTCATTTGGTCTCAATTCATGTGGCACCTCCAAGGGCCCCTCAGCCTTCGACGCGACCACATGGCATTGCTCCGTCAGGGAACTCACCCGTCCATCTGCTGCTTACCATCTACCTATGACAGCGCGCCCACCTGCAAGGCCAGACTTCTCTCCGCAGCACTCCTGCTGCAGCAGCAGATACCTGCCTGCCCCCACCCGCTGGGCAGCCGCCACCTGCACTGTCACCTGCCACCAGGATTCCCCCAGGCTCCTCACTGACCCTTATCCCCTTCGGCGTCACCCCACTCTCCTCTAGTTGTAGTGAATGTTATTTTTTTTAAATGCAAAAAATTATCACTTTCTAATTCAAAGCCAGTCAGTGACATCTGGCTCTTAGAATACAGCTCAGCACCACCCCCATCCCCACCCCACCCCGAGCCTCTGCCTCGTGCCCTTGTCCACGCTCCAATCACACGGGCACTCCTGTGGTGTGGGGCTCTTCCACCTGAGGCACACGTGCCACTCTAGGCAAGCCCGGGGGTCCTGTCCAGCTGCCTCTTCTCCCGAGGGACATGTCCCCGGACGCCCCCTGGTCCCTGCACACCTTCGTTCCCCGCTCGGTGAGCCAGGAAAGGTGGAGGAAGAGGGAGCCCAGCGCCATCCTAGTGAACGAGGCAATGGGTAGTGCAGCTCGGGGACAAAGGAGCCTATGATACGAGAAAGACCCTCATCCGCAGTGAGCCCGGGAGGCCACACGGTGTCCGGACCGTCCGCAGTCCCGGTGGCCAGAGCTCGGAGCCCAACTCAGAGGACAGCGCCACCCATCGCCTCAGGGCCCACTCAGCCTGTGGAGGGGGCCACTGTCCCGCTGCTTTGGGACATGACAGAGCCCACCCAGCCCCAGAGCTTCTGAGGCTCAGAACACCTTACGTTCAGACACAGAGATTCCCAAAACAAGCACGGACAGTACTGGATGGTCCTCCCCCCCTTGCTCATGTATCTCCCCACCCCCCGCATCCTGGGAGCCCCTGCTCTCGAACAAAGCGCGCAGGTGACCAGGCCTTTGGGTATTGCCGAGAACAGCAGATATACGAGTGCTGGGAAAATAAAACTGGCAGCAAGTCCTGCCGTCTGCCGGACTTCTCCACAGAGGGCTGCATGGGGCCTGGCTGGCTCTGAGCCTAAGGGCGGGAGAGCACGGGCGCCTGCACCAGGGCACACAGAAGTAGTGTTGGCCGAGTCGCAGGATACCGTATTTTTCGGACCATAAGACGCACTTTTTTTCCCCCAGAAGTGGGGGGGAAAAGTCCCTGCGTCTTATGGTCCAAATATAGCCTACACATATACTTAAAAAAAAAAGTTTTTTTACTTGCCCGGCTATGTGTGGTCTGTGTGTGCTTGCCCGGCTCTAAAATGGTTCTAAATGCTGCTGTTTACTTTACAGGGTTGATTACATGTGTTTATGACTGTGATGTTGGGTTTTAATGCACATAAAATATTTTAGGACACTATTTGTTTCAGAATCTTTTTTTCTTCATTTCCCTTCTCTAAAAACTGGTGCGTCTTATGGTCCGGTGCGTCTTATGGTCCGAAAAATACGGTAATTCCCTCCATCTTACAGTAGGGTCAGGATCAACAGTATTTAACTGTATTATGCTTTGTGCTTTAGCCAGGGGATTAGAAAATGTGTTCTTTTAAAAATGTATTTTTATTGATTTCAGAGAGGAAGGGGAAGGGAGAGATAAAAACATCAATGATGGGAGAGAATCATCCATCAGTTGCCTCCTACACGCCCCACACTGGGGATCAAGCTCACAACCCGGGCAGGTACCCTGACTGGAACTGAACCGTGACCTCCTGGTTCATAGGTTGACCTTCAACCACTGAGCGCTGGCTGGGCAAAGGTAGGGTATTCGTGAAGACTAGCACCCTAAAGAGGAGGAGTGACCCAGGGCAGAAGCCAGGACGTCAGGGCCTGCTCACGGCCTGACGGGCACACAGCCGCAGGTGAGCGGGGAGGAGGGCTGAGGAGCTGTGGCTGCGTCCCCCGGGCCCTCTGCCACTGCCCTCACCCCTGTACCAGGGGTTTCAGGTGATCTCAGTGGATAGCTGTGTCTGGCCCACCATGAATGTTTCTTTCCCCCTCTCACTGGCCTCTCGCGAGCGAGCTGTGACTTGGTGTCAGACAGACTGATCCTCCCCGGGTCCAGGTGCTCGTGTTCATACAGGCGCCGTGACCCGAACTCTCTGGGTCGCTCTGAGGCTCAAGCTCCTGTGCTGACAGAACGAGGCCAGGCCACAGACTGAAGCCCCAACAGGCTCGGGACCTATTCGGGGTCAAGGACGCCTCCTGTGTCCCTTCCCTCCCACTAGGGAGGACAGCTCTGCCAGGAGCCCGGCCGATGGCTTACCTCGGCGGCATACCTCACTCCGTCCACCACGTGCTCAGAGCCGTGGTCGTCCGTGGACCCCCAGTGCAGGTGGAACTGCCGCAGCCGGTATCTTCCTGTGAGCGGCCCCCCGCGCAGAACTAGAGGGCAACACAGGGACACAGTCAGCAGGAGAGTGTTTCTGCATGGCCCCCACACGCCCCCCGGACCCACAGCACAAGCAGGGGCTACAAAGGGTCCCGCCGTTCGCGGGCAGGGACCCAGCTTCCAGGTGGGCGAGGGTGAGAACACGCTTTTGAGGGTGAGAGTGACCACAGGACAGCGATGCGGGGGGGTGCGGGGGGAGCCCAGCGGGCACTCTGGTGCAGAGCAGGGAGCCCCGAGGGCTGCCTGTCCCCTGAGGCTGCCAGGCCCAGGGGCCCAGCAGGCGGCCCAGGAGCGCCTTCCACAGGTTGAAGATCTGGGCTCACCTTGGCTTCACCACCCGTGACCTTGCACACACTCTCTGACCTTGAGCTCCAGCTGTCAGGCCATGACCCCGGAGAACAACAACACCTCCCCACAATGTCATGGGGAACAAGAAAAACTGAGCACACAGCCCTCACCCCTGCCCGGCAGACAGCTGGCCCCGCGAGCTATGATTGCTGCGATATTGCTGTTGTTTCTACAAATGCGGGCAGAGTAAGTGCATCTTCTTAGGGAAATAGGAAACACGGGACAGAATTAACTTTTTAAAAACCCATCTGATGTTGCCACTGGGGCACTTTGCCTCCACAAAAATGCTCTCTGACACCTTGGCAATAGAGCCCAACCAGTAGGGCTCAGTGGTGGAGCGTCGACCTATGAACCAAGAGGTTCTGGTTCAATTCCTAATCAGGGCCCATGCATGGGCTCCATTCCCAGTGTGGGGCTTGCAGGTGGCAGCCCATGGATGATTCTCTCTCATCATTGATGTTTCTATCTCTTTCCTTTCCTCTCTTGGCTCAATAAAAATATATTTAAAAAAATAAAATTTTGGCAATAGAATCATATCTTAAGGAGACAGAAAAGTGTCTTACTAGAAACCAAGTCCTGAAGTGTGTCCCGACGATTAATCTCCGCTGGGCAGACCGGAGGCCCAGAGGCCAGAGGCCGGAGGCTGAGCTCGGCACACCTCGCCGACAGGACTCATCTCCCTCACACAGCAGCGGGCAGTGCCGGGGCCAGGGCAGCCTCAGCAGCAGCTGGACTCAGAGGCCTCATTGTTTTATGTGCACAAGATTACATGCAGTGACAAGAGTTGTCAAAAATGCCCCACCTTACATAAGCAGGAAAGATGGCGAGAATTTCATATGTCATCTTCCATGAACAGCAAGAAACAAAAGGACAAGGTAATGCGCTTGCCCTGCCCTCTGGGCTGCACTTCAGGAGAGCAGAACGCTGTGTGCGGACCAGCACCGGGGTGCCCTTCTCCTCGACCTGGCGCCAACTGCAGCTCAGAGCTGGTCAGGGTTCAATCAGCAGCCAGAACAGTCCCCGCGCAGCGCACGCCCTGTCCTGTCCTGTCAGCCTCCCAGTTTCTGACTAGATTGATGGATGTCCCTTCACGTCTACCTGCCCCAGGAGAAAACTGGGAGCACAGTTAACCAAGTCTGTGGAGAGCGAAATGGCCGGGCACCCTCTAGGTTCCTTCAGACCCAGGCTGCTCTGTGTTAAGTAGCTGCCCATCTCCAGAGCCCCGGGAAATGAACGGGGAGAGGAGCACCACCCAGCAGGCCGCTCTGGGCCACTGTCTGAGATGGCACGGCACTCTGCTTCTGCTGGCCTGGACACACTTCGCGGCTCTGCTGGTGTCCCTGTGGCACCGCCCGCCCCTGTCCCTGAGGAGATAAGTGATGGAGAGGATCTTAGGTTTGGCTCTAAACAGCCTCCGCGATGCTTCACAGATAAATGAGCTGGGAACGCACATGCCCTGGGCGGTGGCCTGCATCCGGGGGCCATGGCCTCCGGGTGCAACCAGCCTGGCATCCGTCTTTCCTCTTCTGTTGCACGAACCAAGTAAAGCATGTACCTGTCACAGCGCCACGCCACGGGCGGGCTCAGGACTCACCTTATTCTAGAACTGGAACCCCTGTGAGAGGAGACACTAAGCAGCTGGCCCGGGAGAAAGACGGAGATCCCTAAAGGCCAGCATTCTGGCTGGCTCGGGGAAGCCTGACCGAACCCAGGCTTCACCCAGATTGGCAGCCTCGCCTCGGGGAGCACAACGCTGGCCTCCCTCTGCCTCACCGGCTCCACACGGGAGCATCTGTGCTAACAGGTCCCACCTGCAACCCTGACCACGGGCCAGTGTGCTGACCGCCCGCTCGAGCAGGGTTCCGCACTTGGGGGAGGTGAGACAGAAGGTCACAGTGGTCTCGCCTGCCTTCGAGATGGTCTCTGATAAAAGTTAGGCTGTGGGATACGATGAAGAATAGAGGCAAAATATTTTTAATGAGAATGATTTCGTGTTTTCAAGTGTCAAATTACTCATCTCACTTTCCAGCCTAGAGATGAGTAGATAGACATTATTGTCTCTATCTTAATTCTGAAAATGAACGATCCTTTCTCAAAAATCATACCTGGCATACATTGAGTCCATTTATCACTTCATCCAGCATTTTTAAAAAATCTCCTCCAAACAATGCACTCATACAAGAAAGAGGTGCAGAGGGTAAGACGCCAGAGGCAAGTGCCCTGGAAGTGGGGAGCATGTGCTACCTCAACCAAGGGGTCTGTGTTAGCTGCTCCCTGCCACCAAGCCCCCCTGCTGTGGAACCGGAAGCTTGCTGGTGTGTGCTGCGGTATTGCCCCTGCCTCGGGCCTGTCTGTCACAAGCCAGGCCTGCGTGTCTCTGCCCCGGCCCGGCATCACTGCCTGGACCATGAGCATGGCTGCTGCACCAGAAAGAGGCGCTTCAGACAGTCACCATCCAGCCCAGCGGGATGCAGCTCCTCTAAGAGGACCCGCCTCGTTCCTTTGTGTCCCCTGGACCCAGGACGGTGTCTGACAATGACTGCAGAGGCAAGTGCCAGGTGGCTGCCGGCGTGCGTGCCCAACTGCTTATTCTGGGACGAGGACTGTAGCCTCAGTTTCCTTTAATACTTGAGATATTATCACCAGCATCCCACCATGATCGTGGGTGGTGCAGACTTGGGTTTGGAAAGCCTTGGATTTCTACATGACCACATCGCATACGTAATCATGTGCCCATTACATCATCTCCCTGTTACGTCACCCTCCCGCCCTCTCAGAGCAGAGGGGGTTGGAAACACATGACAAGCAAGGTCCCTCTTTACCCCCCCAGTTGAAAACACCATGTGTTAGTCTTCCTTGTGCACGTTTACAATGCTCTGAACAAATGATATGAGTCACTTTTACAAATTTGACAAGTATGAGGAAGATATTTTATGGGCTTATAATTCTAGCTAAGAATTAGCATTGCATAAACACGGGAACTATGACTAAACCAAAGCTCAGCTTAATGAGTAAGTGAAGCTTTCTTCCAATGAAGGGTTTTTTAAATTTAACTACATGTATCGTTAACAGAGCTAATGCAGCATCATCTCAATATTAGACAAAAAGTAAAAGTAATTTGTCAGCAGCCTTAAAACATGAGTCCCTAACCTTCTCTGTCACCTAACTTTTAAACTTGATACTAATCTGCTTCTTGGGCGTGGCCGTGCTGGAAAGTGAAGGAAACACGCTTTCTATTCATTTGGCTCGTGTGTTCTGTATACATGACACGGTTTCATTTGGTTGGCCATCGTTTACTGATAGTGTGAGACACTGACCCTGAATGAATCAAGCACAACTTTCATTACAGGTCCCAGTAGAGTACGAACAGGGACACACAATGGGTAGGTGTTTCAAATAAGAGAGAAGAGAAGTTACCGTCCGAGAAGTTATTGGCCGAGCCCCTCACCTCACCCCGCAATGGAAAGCCCACCTGATTTGTCCTCCGTGTCATCAAAGTCGACGTTGAAGGAATGGCCACTGTTACTGATGATCTTGGCGGAGCTCGAGTCATACGCAATGCTAAGGGGGCGAAGGGAAGAGTCAAACTTCGCTTCCTTGGTTTTAATCTCAATCGGGGACTGCTGGTCCCCATCAGCGATGGGAAAGAGTTGGTTCCAGTGAACAGGACCTGGATAAGCACACAGGACCAGAGAGAGGACTGAACAGGGGTTTCATTCGACGAGTCCTCCTGGAGCACAACAGGACGGGTTAGTAAAAGGTCTCCACCTTCAGGGCCTTCACACCTAACCCTGTGTGCAGCTGTTTTACAGACTCCTTGCTCTTATTAGAGGCATGGAGACTTCCTGGTTTGCATTCACTCATTTTCCGAATCAAACAAACGCTGGGGACAAAGGAGCATGTTTGTTTTATAAGGTACTTTCCAAAGGCACTTTCCTGCCAGGCAGAAAACAACAGCGTGATTCATCTGAGCCCAAGATTCCGTCTCAGCCCAGGAGTGAGGGAGCTGCAGGCTCATTCAGCTGGAGGAGGGACATGGACTGAGCCTGCGTGGCCCGTGGCATGAGCAGGTATCACACTCACAGGGTAACCCCGCGCCACGCTGCGCCGTCCGGGGAAACTGCATGTTCTGGGGTACCTGCTGGAGTCAGGGCACATTTGTCTCTCCTTCCTGCACGTCAGGCGCCCCTCTGGGTTTGCTTTGCCAGTACTACCTTTGCATTCCAAAGCCGGGGACCACGGTCTCCCTGATCCTCTGCTCAAAAAACCAAGAGGGTGCCAAGCTCCCCGGCAGACACATTTGGTAAGTGATGTGAGCCTGCAGTGCCCTCGGGGCCTTGGCCTTCCTCTGCAGACCGGACTCTCAGAACCAACAGCAGTGCGCTCCAAGTGAGCAGCACGTCAGTGCACAGGGACACAGTGTGGCCACTCCTCTCCCCCTGCTCCTGCCCGAGCAGCCCTACTGTGAGGAGACCTCTTCCCTCCCTCCCCGAGCAGCGGGCCTGGCCCCTCCATACTCAGGCTCCTATTCCACAGATGGCGCAGCGTGACCATGAGCGCCATGCTGGTACTAGTGCCCGAGCATTTCCAAAGTAAGACTTAGAATTCAACTAAGGCATGCACAGATGCCACCGTGGGCAACAGCTTCATCTCCAAATCGGATTCCCCCATGATGCCTCCTTTGTCAGAAAAGAGTGAGTGCTGTTTCCCTCGCATAGGCTTCCGGAGGACCGGCACCGGGAGTGCACACCGCACACAGCACCTGCTCCTCGGTGACGAGGCCCCGCACTCACCCTACTGCACTCGCTGGCACAGGCTAGTCCTGCGCGCTTATGCTCGCTCTCTCTCTCTCTCTCTCTCTCTCTCTCTCTATCTCTCTTTCTTCCTCCCTCTCTCTTTCTTCCTCCCCCTCTCTCTCTCTCTCAGCCACCAGGCGTGACTGCCTAGAGCATATTAGACTTCAGATCTGCCCACTCTTTCATGGGGAGTGCCCTTCTCCTAACCACTCTGCCCGGTTTCCAGTCTTTACAACAGAACCATTTTGAAATACTCAGCGTTAAATATTAACTACTAGGGTAGTTCATTCCCTGCCTGTCCAGACCTCCAAGTTCCACCCCATTTACACACGGTGCCCGGAGAAGTGTGTAGTGTGTCTGCCTCTGACTCGGAATATCGGGGTGACCAGGGTTTGCAGTGACTGCCCCTTTCTGAGATGGGCCAGCAGCACCACGGAGGGCTGGGCAAGGTGCCCCCTCCCAGGCTCCTGCCAGCTGCTCGCCCGCAGTGTAACCAGAAGCATCACTTGCCAGTGATGCATCATTCCAGTGGGACATGGCCGCGGTGACAGACTTCAAGGTCCCCTCATCGCTATTGGTAGAAAGCTACCAAGTCACTGCTTGCTAACAGCTCTCCCAAGAAGATTCTAAAAAGTTCTGCAGACAGCTTCAATGTTTCCCAACATGTTACAGTCATCACTCCTCCCTGATCCAGAGCACACTCTTCCTGACCAGTCAGGGCCTGCTGGCTGCAGTCACACTACTGCACTGCTCAGGGCTATTCCAGCAGAGAAGGAATGAAAGAAAATTGATTTTGTCACCTCCCCGAACATAAATTGAAAATCAGCAAAATATAAGATAATTACAGCCTCCATCAGAAAGAAATCCACTGAAGTTATTCAAGTTTTAAAATACTAAATTTTATCTACTAACATTTTTATTGGCAAATTAATTTTGCCAATAAAAAAATAAAAAACTACAGTTAAAAGTGAAACTTTTCTGTTTCTTTGTCAAAGTAAAGTTTCTATAAAAATCAACTACACAGTAATATACATTTGTCCAGTAATAATTATTATTAGTCACAGGCCTAATTTTTTCTATTTCTTTTTTCTAAATTTATCTTTATTGTTGAAAGTATTACAGATGTCTCCTTTTTTCCCCTTTGACCCCTCTCTCCTGCACCCCCCCCCCCCCCCCCCCCCCCCCCCCCCCGCATTCACCCACTATTGTGTGTGTCCATGGGTTCCGCATATATGCATAAAAGTTCTTTGATTTATCTTCCCCTCCCCTGCCTAATATTGACAGTGATTCACTAAAAGGCTTTCTAGGTGTCACTTTGCAATTAGTTTAAATAATCAGTATTTGAAAAAATAAGCTGGATAAGTTGTTTAATAGAAGAAATGAGAAAATGGTTTACTTTTGGTAGTTTAGAATAGACATCAGTAACTGCATTTTGCCCACGTGCTTTGATTTCAATCCCTTTGCTGACCCAAAGTGTCTGCAGGGTGCGTTGGGGGCGGGTGTTGGGGACGGGAAAAGAAGCCCCCCTCCACTTGCACCTTCCAGAAAGAACCCAGCCCGTGCAGCCAGCAGGACCGGTGCTGACCCCGTCAAGGTTACCAGAAACCCCATCCAGGTGCCCCAGGAGACACCCTGCCTTCTCAGAGCTGTCATGCCAGTGATTTTCTTAAACTCAGTTTAAGCAATTTCCACGATTAATTCCCGGAGGAGTCACCGTTCAATCAATGTGTCCTCAGACTGCCTCTCACCCAGAAGGGCTGCCACCAGGGAAAGTGTTCCTCTCCCCCAGCTTCCAAAGGGCAGTGATGTCTAGGTCTGGGGACCCTGGCATGTTGTCACCCCTGAGCCGACAGACACCCCAAGGAGGCTCCCGCAGTGGTCCCGGTGGCCCCTGAGCCCCGCCCCAGATCCCCCTTCCCTGCCCCCGCCCGCCCTCCCGGGGGCTCACCATTGTGCTCCGCGTACCCCCAGCTGAGGCGCGACATGGCTGGAGGGAGGCAGCAGGGACACTAGCGGAGCTCTGCTGGGCTGGGCGTCCCGGGTCCTTGCTCCAAGCCCTGAGCGTGGGCGGGAGGGCGGGGGGGGGGGGGGGGGGGGGGGGGGGGGGGGGGGAGGGGGGGCGGCTGGGCTTCCCGCCCTGCACTTTGGAGGAAGAGGCGCTGCCGCGTCCGCGTCCCGGGACGGGTGGGTGAGTCACGGGGTGGGCGGTGCGCGGTGCTGGGGGCGGGGGCCCGGGCGGCAGAGCCTGGTGGTGACTGAGCCGCCGAGGAAGGCGCGCCCCACTGACACCCCCTCTCCCGGACCCCGGACCCCGGACCCCGCAGCGCTGGGCCCAGGAGCTCCCAGAGCTCCAGGCAGAGGCTCAGCCACAGCCCTGGCCTGGACCGCCGCTGAGGGCCCCCCACCCCAGCTCTCCTCACCCTCTGCAGGTGGTGGCTGGCACCTGGGTCCCCAAGTTCTGCAGCCTTTTGCCTGCCCCCAGAGGGCGAGGAGTCCCCTGGGTGCTGGGGGCCTGTGGCTGTGCCCACATGATTGCAATCACTGTCCCAGCTGCTGAGGCTGAACGGTGGGTCCATTTGAAATTTCACCCCAAATGTACAGTGTCACTTGAGGACAGACTGGTGCCAAGAGCGTTTTAATGAGGAGTCATCTTTCCTTTCCATCTCGGGCCATCTGGAGCTGCAGTGCCATGCCTGCACGGCCAGAAGGCCCTCTGGGAGGCCGCGGGGGGTAGACAACATGTGGGGGTCTGAGTGTGCTGGAGCCACAGGTCCTGGCCGCCTGCCCCGCCGCTCCAGTCCTCCTCGCAGTGAGCTGTATGCTCCTCCTGCACCAGGAGACCCCGGCTTCCTCACCCACCCTCTGTGCCTCAGAGGGGTGCGTTTGTGCCAATATAACAAGAGCCAATAGGTCTGATTTATACTCACTTTCATCACAGAAGACAATGTGTGTGTGTATATATATCTGTATTCAAATACACATATACAAAAGGACTGTTATCCAAAATACACAAAAAATTCTTAAAACGTATCAATAAGAAAGCAAACCACCTGATTTAAAAACGGGTCGAAAACTCAGCAGAGATGTACAAATGGCCAGGAAGCACATGAGAGATGCTCCACACTTGTGTGCTCAGAGGAACTAACCACAACAGCACGCCATTCCACACCGATCGTGGAATCTGGACACAGACAGCACCAAATGCAGGCACGAACTCTCACTCATGCTGGCAGGAATGCAAAATGGTGTAGCCTTCTCAGAAGACAGTTTGGCGATTTCTTACAAAGTTAAACATACTCTTCCCCTAGGACCCAGTAGGCATGTTCCTTGGTATTTATCCAAAGGAGCTAAAAATGTATGTCCGCACAAAAGCCTGCACTTGATGTTTATACCAGCTTTATTCATAACTGCCACATCTTCGAAACAACCAAGATGCCCTTCAGTAGGTGAGTGGATAAGCAAACAGTGGGAAAATAAATATCCAGACCATGGGATATTGCTCAGCATTAAAAAGAAATGAGCTATCAAGCCCTGAAAAGATGTCAATGCATATCACTAAGTGAAATAAGGCCATCTGAAAAGATCACTCTATGACTCCACTACTATGACCTTCTGGAAAAGGCAAAGCCATGGAGACAGAAAAAGATCAGTGGTTGTCAGGGGCGAGAATGGGATTAGGGGGGGGGAGGGGTCAGGAACAGATGGAACAGAGGATTTCAGAGCAAGAACATACTCAGTGTGATACTGTAGTGATGGAGGCATGTCATTTTCTAAGCCCATAAATATACAGGCCCTGAGAGTGAGCCCTGAGGTAGGTAGACTGGACTTTGGTTGATAATAAGGTGTCAATGTAGGTTAATCATTTGTAACTAATGTACTCTTTGGTGAGTTTTGATAATGGAGGAGGCTCTGTGTTTATAGGGGCAGGAGGTATATGGGAAATGCCTAATACTTTCCTCTCAATTTTGGTGTGAACCTAAAGTTACTCTTTAAAAAGAAAAAAGGTTTCAGAAAAAAATAAACTCACAAAAAAACTAACTGGTCATATAAAATACACAACACACAGAGGACCTAGCTTGTAGGAGGTCCTATGCCAAATTTGGGACAGTTGGCCATCAGAAAGAATCATGCTGGTAGATTATAATCTCCTTCCCTCAAATTACCCATGGGGCAGGGGGAGAAAGAGCGAGAGAAAATGCTTCTCTCTGAGAGAATGCTAGCTACTAACTGCAGATGGGATGACAGAATTTTAAAGCCATTTTTGCAAGGCCAATGTAATATCCAGTTCAGGCAAAGATCAGTCATGGGAGCTAGAACTGCTGGACAAAAGATGATGGAGTAACAGGACATTTACACAGCTTAGGATTCAGAGTCAAAAGTTATGTAAAAATCCAACACAATGGGTAAGTCCTACATTGGGAAAAACAGCGGAAATAAAATCTTCCAGGCAATAGGACAGATGACACGGCAGCAGGTAGGTGGTCTCATGGAACCGATGTTAATGTTTGCTGTGCGATGATCTGGTGGGAAGCCTGTAGATGAAGGCTGATGCCCTGGGGCTAAAGTCCCTGCTGCCTGCAACTGACTCTCACATGTTTTGGTCAGTAACCCATAGATCTAGCTGAAGGATGTGTGGGAGCTCATGCTCAGGAGAGTATTCTTTCCATTTTTCTGTACATGCTAAAATTTAAAAAAAAAATTGGAGTCAATGAACCAATTAACTTGCTAATTAACCCTTTACAACTATTTGTGGGTGTTTTCCTTAATAAAGAGCCTCTGTCTCCAGGTTCACACCCGTCAAGTACAAATAAGTGGAAGATTAATACTGACCAGTAAACCCAGGAATCCTGACCAAGGCCATAGTCATCATCTCCACTTCACTCTTGAACCAACTGGATCCAGCCTAGTCTTCCCTGCAGCAACCACTCTTAGTAGGCTCTTCAGGGAGTTAACACCTTATGTTTCGAGCAGCACTGGGAAGTGATAACCCTAGCCATAGAGATACTTAGGGAAGTGTAGTTACATACCAAGGGAAAATCAAAATGATGCTGTCAGCACTTGATGAACTGATATTATTTTATAATATTAGGACATATGCACAGACTCTCTGAGATGCACATTTTCCCAAGTACTCTTTTTAGAAAGCCTAAATGTGAACCCAAGTGGCTGTTTCCGTCTGGTTTTACTGAGAAGGAAAGCCAGGAGCAAGATCCCTGTTACAAAGAGGCCGGCTCTCATGGGACACAGCCCCAGCGTGCAGTCTCAAGTCCAAGGTGCTCTTCAGCAGAGCCCATGCCGCCTCCATCGCACTGTGATTTGAGCAGCTGGGTCTTATTAACCACAGGAATGTCTTATCGCTGGTTATCAGTGGAGAGTGTTGATTTTATAGAGCTGGCACTGTATGGAGTTTGATTTCCTTACCTCTCATTCCTAAGGTTGCCCTGTGGCAAGGGGGGGCACAGTGCGAGGTGCCCAGGAGAGACCTTGCCAGGAGGTTGCACAGAACCCACAGGCACCAAGGTTCATGCTGGCCCAGGTTCATGCCAGAGGGGAATTCTCCAGTGAATCACGGCTCGGGCCACTTCTCAAATTCCAGCTTTCAGAGTTCTGTTCTCTGTTGTCAGACAAGAATAAGTTGCTAAAACCTGACTTTCTACATTTCTGGTCTTCTGCTTCCTCTCATGGTTTTCTAATAATTTTTTCATATCCGATTTTGAATGTTTCATATCTTATTTGAGCACATCACAAGAGTAAAGTCTGAAAAAGAGAACTAAGATTATTTAAAAGTAAGTGAGCTGTATAGACATTAGGTCAACACTGAAATTTCCAGATAATTGAGTTTAAAATAACCCAGCTATCAAAGAATTTAGCTAATGGTTCTTTGGCTTGCAATAAGTAAGTCAATGTCACTCTACTGGTGCATGGTCTTATTCCCCAAGAACACGTAAGGGAATGCCCTCAAAGATCTATGTAAAAAGATGCTCATCATAACGCATTTATAGCAGAAAAAAAATCTAGAGACAGAAATATTAATGAGGAGTTGGAATAACTTACTGTATATTCAAAAGATGTAATTTTAGAGACAAATATTACATTTAAAGCATACTTAACATATTTATATTTATAGATTATACATTTTTATCTAGAGAGATACTCTGATTTTTTTCATTAACAATATGTGTATTTGCTTAGAAAAAAAGGCTGAAAATATATTTTGAAAAATTAGTGCTGGAATCTATTCATTGTCCAAAAACATTTGTGTGGCAGTTTTGGGCACCGGGGATGGAGCAGTTGCTGAGCTGGCCCCTCCTTCCTCACTGAACGGACTGGCAGGGAGACAGTGTTTGATTTCTGGGTCCGGGTCACAAGAGACATTTCAGCGTCTGTTTTGTCTTTTGGACCCCTCTGTCTGGGGGTCATCAGCTTCCTCCTCATGAGACACTCAGACCTGTGGAGATGCCTTCCTGGAGAGGACCCAGGGTACCTGAAACCTCAGGAAAGACTCGAGCCAGACACATCCAACCATGCCCCCACAAAGTCCACCCCTACGGAAATGTGAGATAGTGAGGACTCTTGTTTTGAGCAACTAAATTTTGGGATGATTTGTTATGCTTTAGAAAACAAAGACATTTGTAAACAAACCAGATAAAAAGTTCTGCCTTTATGGAGAATAAGCAGGATACACTATATAGTATATGGAATAACGGCACAGTAGGGAAGAGGGCCTCTGATGGTACAGAGGTGGTCAGAAGGCCTCTCTGGAAAGACCATTTGAAATAAGACCTGAAAGGTGAGGGAAGAGCTTAGCAGACATGTAGGGGCCATGATTACAGGGCAGCGAGAAGCAGTGTTGGTCAGGGGGGATCTCAGAGCCGGGCAGAGGCCCTTGTAAGTGCTCTGGCTTTTACTCTGGGTGATGTGGGAACATGGGAAGTTTGGAGTTGAGGGATGACATTATCTGATCACTGTTTCAACCCAGGTGAGACAGATGATGGGAGCTGGACCAGAAC